AAAATGTAGGATACAGAAATAGGAGGTGTTGAGATGGCGCATGGGTTTATTTTTGTCATGTATCCATCCATCCATTCATCCATCCATCCATCCATCCATCCACCCACCCATCCATCTATCATGGTTAAAAACCCATGCAAAATAAAATTTGCCATCTTAAGCATTTGTGTGTACATGGCTGTGCAACAGGTCTCCAGAGCATTTCAACTTGCAAAATGGAGACTCTTGTCCATTGAAAACTCACCACTTCTCCTTCTGCCTCCTCCGCCCCACCCAGCCCTAGCAACCCCCGTTCTATTTTCTGTGTCTATGAATTCAACTCCTCTAGATTCCTCTGTAACTGGAATCACCCAGTGTCTGTCATCTTGTGACTGGCAAAAAAATTTTAATTTAGAGACAGGGTGTCTCCCTGTCACCCAGGCTAGAGTGTAGTGGCATGATCATAGCTTACTGGGCTCAAGTGATCCTTCTACCTCAGCCTCCCAAGTCACTGAAATCACAAATGTGTGCCACCACACTCAACTAACTTTTACATTTTTGTAGAGACAGGGTCTCGCTATATTGCCTAGGCTGGTCTTGAACTCTTGGCCTCAAGTGGTCCTCCTGCCTCAGCCTCCCAAAGTGTTGGCATTACAGGCAGGAGACACTGCGCCTGGCCTGATATCATTCTTGATCAGCATTGGAAGAGCTTTGAAAGCCTCTAAACTGTTCAAATCAGTGAACTGAATATACATTTTACATTTTGAATAGGCAAAACATTACAGGGTTCAAACTTCAACAGACAGAAGTGCATCAAGAGAAAGTTTCCCTCTCTCCCATGCTCTCCAGCTATGAATAGTTTTGTAGTTTTCCTATTTTATCCATGTTTTATAGATACAATACATAGGATTTTTCGTAAGTTTTATTGTGTATATTGAAGGTAGACAACATGATGTTATGGGATGCAAACAGTAAAAATTACTTTTTAATTTTTATTTATTTCAATAGCTTTGGGGTGCAAAAGTTTTTGTTACATGGTTGCATTGTATAGTAGCAAGAACTCTGGGCTTTAAGGGTGCCCATGCCCCTCCAAAGGTTACTTTTTATTAAGCAAATTCACACAGCCACCCTCTCCCATCTCACCCACTTTTTGTGTGTGACCAGAGCAGCTCAAATCGCTCACTGAACACAAATGCCATCCACGGTCCACACTTAGCCCCAAATTTCTCAGGCTACAGGTGGGTCGCCAGCTTGCTCATCCTCCACGTGGCCACTTTGTGTCCTCTGCTCCCTGTCTCCATTCTCCTGCTCTGTCCTGGCCCTTGTGCTGGTGTCTCTCTCTGCATTAGTCAACCAGATCCTTTAGCGGCCTCCTACCTCAGGGAAGCACCTCTCCGCCCCTGTGGCAACCTGTTCTTCCGGAACACACCCTGTTCTACAAGACTGGCATGAATCAGAAGTTCCATTTTTATTTTTCAGATGAGTATAGTGTGAGCTGTTCTCCCGTGGGAAAAGAACCGAAAAAAACAAGGAGAGACATGAAAATACACATTTAAAAATATGAATGTTCTAGCCGGGCTTGGTGGCTCAGCCTGTAATCCCACGCCTTGGGAGGCTGAGGTGAGTGGATTGCCTGAGCCCGCGGGTTCGAGACCTGCCTGGGCAACTTGGCGAGACCTCATCTCTACAATAAATTAAAAAAAAAAAATTAGCCGGGCGTGGTAGCGCGCGCCTGTAATTCCGGCTACTTGGAAGGCTGAGGTGGAAGGATCGCCAGAGCCCAGCAGGTCGAGGCTGCGGTGGCCGGGAGTGGCCACTGCACTCCAGTCTGGACGACGGAGTGAGACTCCAACTCAAAAAAAAAAAAAAAAAATGTTCTAAGAGAATTTCATGCCATCAAACCCATCTCTACCAAACAGATTAGACTGTCACGTTCTAAAAATCTGGTTTCCTAAAGTAAACTATATCTAGGTCTATCAAATTATAAAAATAATAGCACTTGCTATGTACCATTCTAAGTAGTTTGTATATAGTATATCTTTATTTTTTTTGGTAGAGAGAGGGTTTTGCTATGTTGCCCAGGCTAGTCTCAAACCCCTGGCCTCAAGTGATCCTCCCATCTTGACCTCGACAATTGCTGGGATTACAAGTGTGACACACTGTATTCAGCCCCATATTCCACCATTAAACTCCATAACAACTAGTTCATAATAAAATGGACAGAGAAATGAAGCAAACTGTGTTTTCAACCCCAGGCCAGAGTCTCCACAGCTGTCCCTCTTAATCTGAATAATACTCATTATTTGTTCTAATAGAAAATAGCCAAAAGAAAGAACCCAGAAACTTTTTCTTTCTGAGTTGGAGTCTTACTCTGTCGCCCAGGCCGGAGTGCAGTGGTATGCCCACGGCCACTGCAGCCTCGACCTGCTGGGCTCAGGAGATCCTTTCACCTCAGCTTTCCAAGTAGCTGGAACCACACACCACCATGCCAGGCTCATTTTTTAATTTATTGTATAGATGAGGTCTTGCCAAGTTGTCCAGGCTGATCTTGAACCCCTGGGCTCAGGCAGTCCTTTCGCCTTCGCCTCCCGAAGTGTTGGAACTACACCTGTAGTCCAGCTCAGAAACTATTTTTATTCATGGTTTTTTTGGTTCCTGTTTATTCAAAATCGTTTGTTTTCATATATTGGATCCATCAAAATGACCCATGATATTTAAATGGAGAGTCCAGCTCTGAGCACTGACCCAGAGAATTAGCTCTCTGGGGAGGACTCTTGGAATGCCTGTTTTTACCAGCACCAGGTGATTCTGAGGCAGGTGGCCGGCAAGCAGACCCTGACAGATAGAATGCACATGGCAGTTTGTGTTTTCCAAAGCTGGCCACAACCAGAACTTCCATCGCGTATGTTCTGCTAGTTTCTTCTTCTTTTCTTAACAATTTCTTTTAGAGATGAGGGTCCTGCTATGTTGCCCAGGCTGATCTCTAACTCCTGTCCTCCAAAGCCCTGGGACTACAGGCATCAGCTACCACACCTGGCCTATTCTGCTAGTCTCTAGAATCTTGCCACTCCTCTTTCAAGAGGAGTCCCTGTCCCCTGCCCTTGACACTGGGTGGGCTTTATGGCTCAAGGACCACAAAGATAATGGCTATTGTGATGCCATGTGATTTCCACTGCTAGGTGAAAAGGTGATTTGGCATCTGCCTTAGCTTACTAGAACACTTAGCCTTGGAGCCAAGCTACCATGCCATGGGAAAGCCCAAGATGCCCCAGGGATGGGCCCACCTGGAGAGGATCGAACAACCAGCTTCAACTTGCTAGCTTGTGAACCATCATGGGAGTGAGTCTTTTTCTCACCTAAGCCCCACCCAACTGCAGAGCTGTACACTTGCAACCCAACAGTCACTCTGCCTTCTCCTGTGAATCCCACTGGGTTCTCTTTTTTTTCCTGAAAGTATCTCTGCCCAGTGTCATTCACCTTCCCAGATTTTGCTACACTCAGAACCACCTATGTTAGACCTGTGGTTTTTTGACGTTCTCATGATCACGTTTTCCTTCTTACCTCTGGACTTGGCTTCTCATCTGAAAGGTTCTGGGAATAACAGAGCCTGCCGCTAAACTTTCTAATTACATGCTGTATTCAATTAATTCATGCATTCGTTCAGCATCGTGCCTAGCATAAAATGTTTCTCCTTGTTCTTACTAGGTTTCTTGCATTTGTATTACCAGTACCTTATCCTTCCCTCCTTCCTTCCGTCTTTCCATTCTTTCTTGAGTCAGGGTCTCCCTCTGTCACCCACGCTGGGGTGCAGTGGCACGATCATGGCTCACCACGGCCTCAACCTCCTGGGTCCAAGCAATCCATCCACCTCAGCCTCCTGAGTGTCTGGGACCACATGAGTGCACATGAGCCCATGTTGCCCAGACTGGTCTTGAATTCCTGGGCTCAAGCAATCATCCGTCTCTGCCTCCTAAAGTGCTGGGATTACAGGTGTGAGCCCTATGCCCGGTCCATAGTCCCAGTTTCTTTACTCTGTTCCCTTCTCGTGGTTTAATGCCATTTCCTGTGCTGGGGTGCTCTCTCCACAGGTCTATTAGTCTCTTGCCCATCATTTAGCACTCCATTTTTAAAAGGCACTCAATTTTTTTTTTGAGTCAAAGTCTCAATCTGATGCCCAGGCTGGAGCACAGTGGGTGCTCGTGGCCACTGTAGCCTCGACCTGCTGGACTCAGGTGATCCTTCTGCCTCAGCCCTCCAAGTAGCTGGAACTACAGGTGTGCGTCACCATGCCCAGTTAATTTTTTGATTTATTGTAGAGATGAGGTCTTACCAATTTGCCCAGGCTGGTCTCGAGCCCATAGGCTCAGGCAGTCCTCTTACCTCAGCTTCCCAAAGTGTTGGGATTATAGGCGTGAGCCACCGTGCTTGGTCAGCACTCCATTTTTTTTAAAGCACTCAACTTTTTTTTTATTTTTTGAGTCAGAGTCTCACTCTGTCACCTAGGCTGGAGTGCAGTGGTACACTCACGGCCACTGCAGCCTCGACTTGCTGGGCTCGGGTGGTCCTTCTGCCTCAGCCTTCCAAGTAGCTGGGACTACAGGCATGCATCACTATGCCCGGCTAATTTTTTGATTTACTGTAGAGACAAGGTCTCACAAAGTTGCCCAGGCTGATGTCAAACCCCAGACTCAGGCAATCCTCTGGCCTCCAAGCACTCAACTTCTTTAAGAGGCTCTCCAGAGTTCTCAAGTAGTTAAGGCCTCTGCGCTAAAATGACCCTGGTTCTCCTGTGAGAGCGCTCATCCTCCAGCCTCTGAACTCTTGGAAGGCGTGGTTGGCTCCCGGCGTCATTCATTCACGCCTGCCCGTGTCACTGTGGAGGCAGCACTGTGGTCAAGGAGTAAGGGCCCGCGTCCTGGCAGGCCTCTCTGAGGACAAGACAGCGCCTCTGTCTCCTCCATAACATCGGAAGAAGCCGACTCCCTGGCCTCAGTGCCACCAGCTTCTGAGGTTGGCTGCGGATGTCGTCCTACAGCCAGGATGTCCTCAGGCCCAACGCTGCCCCCACGGCTCCCCCTCGACGCTCGCCCTCGCCCTGGCTCTCTCATCCCAGCCCTACCTGCGTAGCTAGGTCTCGGAGCCGCTGCCCTCCCCCCGTCCC